TTTAACTTTGATTGTTGCATATTTTGTCATGAACATTTAAGGTGAAAAATACTTAAAAACAAGTTTTTAGGGACTTTTGAAAGTAGTTGTTCTATTGCAGTATGCTCATTCACCAGTTGCCAGATTATGTATGTCATTGTGTTTCCTGTCATATCCAGCTTTAGGATCCACAGGGATTTGGCACCACCTAGTGTACAAACTACAGAACTAATCCCCTAACTATGATATCGAGGGGGTGTTTACATTCTATTTTTACTCCCTATTCTATCATCCTATTTATAAATGCTTTGTGAAAACATAATGCCTGGCAGTCTAGTTGGAGGCATGTGATAACTCATGTTTCTGGGCCTAAGTGCTTGATATTGTATGACAAACAAACAACAACAAACAGGTTTGTTGCTGCTGGTGAAATGTGAATCAGTCTCTTCCTCTTTACCTTGTTTGTATGAAGCCAGTACCATGTTTGGGTCGTCCACCTCCAGCACAGTGTCAATGTCTAGTTTCCCAGTGTGCAAAATCTGCATGACCTCCTGAGCATTGTTGGCCTGCAGGGCTTCCAGAAACTGTTGCTTCAGCTGTTTGACAGCAACTTGACTGGGGCTCAACTCCTCCATGAACTCCCTAAAAGAAAGGCGTCGCTCCCTGTATGGCACTGCCAAAGCAGCCAGCTCGGACACTAACGTTCCCCACGCAGCATGGACAAGATAGGAAATGAGCGCACAAATAACGATAATGAAGGTGTCAACCATAACCCACACTGGAAGGCCTCCAATAGCCCAGCCATGAGATATGGGAGGTGTATGAGGAAGGGAGACGGAAATGAAGTAGAAGAAGACGGGGCAACAAGTGACAGGAGGTAGTCAGCAGAGAGTAAAAAATAACCCTGGAGTGAAATTAAGTGGAATATAAATAGAAAGGAGAGAGGGAGGGGACTGGAGATCTACGGCAGTTGGTCGGTTGCTCATGTAAACTGAGAGAGGGGCATCATGAAGTGGTGAACATAGCATGGGGATGGCAACGGTTTCAGAGAGAAAGCTGTTTATTCTCTTCTATCTTATTATGACTGAATCAAATCCAAGAGTGTTAAGGTTTACCATGAGAAATTCTAGACAGAGAAGAATGAAAAATGATCATAAACAGTCATATCATGAATTGTGCACACTTTCTACGTAGAGGAAGTCAGACAAATGTGGGAAAAAAGAAGACGCAAAAGCAAACTATGGACAGTGACTGCACATTTTATTCAGTGTGACAGATAGCTGCCCTTTCAAACTTTTCAGAATGCCAAAAAGAGAGCAAAGTAATGACAAAAAAAGGGGGAGGAGAGTAAGCACAGCTTTTTTTAAAAGAGTGAAAGCATGGCTAGCAGTTTGTGGTGATTATCTTTTGCTTTTTACGCACATTAAAGACAAACCCTTCCAGACATGACTCAAACGTCTGTGTTTTTTCGCCTGCCGTGGAGCACCAGGGTCTCATCCATACGTTGGTTTCATCATGCCAGGCAAGCTCAGTCAAACACATAGAAAAGATCTGGAATCACATTTCTACCTCAGGTCTGACCTTTTAGCCTCCTCAGCCCTCAGACAAACTGTGCACACACACTGACACAATAGAAAACAAGGCTTCTTTAGGATTCTTACAGCGTATTGCTCTCAGTGTTTTACTATACATACAAAAGAGTCAAAAGAGTGCAGTCGGCTGACTGACTTCACTAGGGAGGAGGGGGGAATTCACAGAAAGGTTCAAGTGTTACAAAATGTTTCATAAGAACACATCATGAGCAGCACTGGAGCAGCACTATGGTTGTGTTAGAGGAAAACCACAAGCACGATGGGAGAATATTACTGTTTTCTTAAAATCCTTCATCTGACAACCACTTGAATCTAAATCAATTATGTTTTGGCAATAGGAAGTAATCATACAATTCTGGATGAATCATTATTAGGTGTTAATAATACTCTTATTTTGTATAAGTTATCATAAACAGTAGTCAGTTGCTTCATTAAATACAGAAATAAATAAATAATAACATTAACAGATCAGTGATACCTGTATTACTGTGGCATTGCTTGGAGGTATCTGTAACTCCTACTATTCTTCTTGTTCTTAACCTGTTAACAGTGCACCAGGCAGGTCAAAGACAAAAGGGAATCATAACCAAAGCTGCCTTCATTTCTATCACGGTGACACTGGCGTCTCTATATTTAATGTAAACCTACGGAATGATCCTCGGGAATGACAAAGAAGTAACACAGGGAACATGTCTCTCAGTGAGCTTCACAAATCCTAAAACAAGAATTGCATAAAATACATATGTCAAAATAATTTCAAAGGTATATATATATATTTTTTTTAAATCTAACAAGCAAATCAAAATGTTTTAAGTCTTACTGAACTGGTTTCATAAGAAAATCAAAACTGTATTGCAGTGCAATTTCCAGTGTAATATCAGTAGTATCAGGTACAATAATCTTTAAGACAATTTCTGGACCCACTGCATCTGTCCCTCCTTTATGGCAGCATTCCTAAATATTATTCCAAAGTAATTTGCATGGTGAACTTTGTCATTTTTATGAAAGAAAAAAATAACAATTAGAAATGTTTAGTCCACTGTATGTGTTCTGACACTCACACAGAAGCGGGTAGAGTTCAGAAAAATTCTACTACTCTAGAATTTCTAAAGGCAGCGGCGGGGTATTACTTTGTTATTGAGAGAGAATATAAAAAGAGGTCAAAAGCAGGTTACAAGCAGAGTCAAAGCAACATTATGCATATAAGCAGTTTCATTTGAACTTTTTTTTTTTTTTCATGGTACGGGTTTGGTAAGTTACAAATTTCATGACTATATTGTACCTGAAGTCTCCGTTATAACCAGTCCAATGAGTTCAGTATGTCCTTGTCTTCATTCATACTTGAACTGCTTTAGTATGGTACATGTAAGTAGCATTGGACAAGTCAGTACAGAGGTTAAATTTACAGTCTTCCAGTGTTCTTGTATTGAGAGAGTTTGTTTCTCCCTCTTCAGTTCCAGTGTTGCCTTTTTCAGTAGTGACAGTAAGCAGCATGGGGACATCCAGTGGTGGGAGATGAATACTGCCTCATATATTCTACCACACAGGGCTGACCTGCATGTGCTTCGTCAAAGCAATAGAGCGATTCCACTGATCTATGTATCTGAACAGGATATACACAAGTCTATCAAAATGGCACGTCAGACATATTTGTATCTGTCTTCATCACTGTACATGTACATGGTCATCATGTCTAAAGGTGCTGTGATGGGTAACACAGATGGCTCTGAAGATGATATGGGACGAGGATGAGGTGCACTTTTCACAGACTTAATGTGGATATGAATAAATAAACCCGATTTACAGCAATAAACAGCTAAATAAATAGAACTGAGTAAATTCTTAAATCGCTAAAAACAAAGGATGGGTGTAAAATGAGGCAAATAAGTCGATCAGCATCCTATTATCCACCTGCTCATTTTGGTTTTATTTACCTGGTGAAAAAGTAATTGAACAATCTCCGACAGTTGGGTGTGTAGCTCCACCACTGAGAACTATGGAACTACTGAGAAGGCGTCCCTCAGGGTTCGTTTGTGGGGCCTACTGATGTTCTGCTCCTCCAGATGCTACTTGGTGTGGTGCTACAGTAAAGCGGGAGGTGATCTAACAATTCACTTCACTCTGCCGCGCTTTCTTTGTGCGCCTCTTTCTGCTGCTGCTCCAGCTCTCTCTTCCGTAGCTTCTCGCGCTGTTTCTCCACCTTCTCTCGGTTTCTCTTGGCCTTCTCCATCAGAACTTTAAGGTCTTTGATCTTTTTCTTGATCAGGGCACGGTCCTGGGAAGAAGTAACTCCAAGGGCCTGAAACAAATCAATATTGATTTGAGAGTTTGAAAATTCAGTTTTATTTGTTTCTTTTAAATAAACAGATTACATAAACTTGTTTTAAAGGGTCCCGTACATTTGTTTTTTAAAGAAATGTAACTTGTCATAAACTTGTTATCATTCTGTCTAAAATGGATGTATGTGAACACAATATCTGAAAAAAATGAAGTTTTAACTTACTTTGAGCTCAGGGCTCTCCAGCTGTAGCAGCTGTTCTCCATCTATGTTTTGGGCAGTGAATTCTGGGATATGGTGTTCCAGGTTGAGGCCCATGAGCCAGCGGGCCACTTGCTGGGAGGTCCACTCTGTGATGCTGCAGTTCTGCCACTGATACTGCTTCGAAAACTGACCCTCATCCAGGATCTGAACATATATGACAGGGAGACAGACAGACCAGGACAGAGGGAGAAAGAGGCAGATACACATATTAGACGCACATTATTGTTCAAAGCACACTATTTATATATATATATATATAAGTCTCAATACATGTCTGGTAGGGTTCTTTTACCATCCGCATAAAGTGTATCTTCTATCTTCTACATAACACTGATAACGCTCAATGAACACATTTCACCATGAATGATGTGTGGGAATGAGACACAGACAAATGGCTCATACCCAACAGACACAAAGACATGCATGCAGTAAAACACAAGCCTCTGGAGGCCTGCAGCCTCAGTCTCACCTCATCATCTATCATATCCAGACTCTGAATGTGGCAGCATTGAAAACAAAAGATGACAACAAAAAACAAAAAATGGTTTGTTAACTGAGAAAAATACAATGTCTTCCACTCCAGAAGCCTAAACCAGCATTTGAATACAATGAGCCTAAACCGGTGCATTGATTTTTAGCTTGTTGTTTTCTGCCAGCAGAACATGAGATATGCTGCTCCCTGTCAGAGATATCCTTAAAGATAATAAATTGGGGGACTGACACAAATAACAAAGGTGCATTGTGTGAGCTAGTTTTATTTTTCAAACAAATGAACTGATATTCATTTTGGGTCTGTAAGTTCATTTGTTTAAGTTGTGAATAAAAAAAGGGGGATTTTGATCAAAGTCCTGCATTTCAGTCACATTTGAACTGACAATGTATATAAATACTTTTCTTCTTGTGAGCTTGTATTTAGGAGAGTGGTGAAATCAACATCATGTATTTGTTCAACCTTTCTGACACGGCATTTCATCTTGCAAACTATCATCACCTTGCCCAATAACGAACTTCCATTAAAAAAAAGGACAATATTCTAAGTCTGTACAGTATTAGTACAGACTTAGTAGTACCTCGTCTGAGGAGAGCACTAGGGTGTGTGAGCGTCCCGACATCTTGGCTTCACTCAGCAGCCCGCTGATCTCCACTGAGCTGCTGCTGCTGGCACTCAGATCATCGTTCAAAGTGGGTCCCTGAGAAATCAACAACACACTTATAAGACTGGTGGTGAGAGCCAAGAGGCACTGAGGATGAATTTAGATGATTAGATGGAGTGCTTCTCTATTTCTGTTCCTTAAACAGAGATACTTAATGAGGAGTGAATGAATCAAGAAAATGAAAACTTTCCCTCTGAGCACGTACCAGAGCGATTGATGTTTTTCTTCAGTCAATAAAAAGTACATTAGACTAACATATTTAAGCTGTTTGATTGACTGGAAGGAGGTGGCGTTGTGCACATCCCTCATTTTTAAGATGTTCCATTATAGCACAAACTGTGAATGTGATTAGTGGTTAGAAATGATGTAGCTGGATGATATCCAACTCTAAAAATCTTCTCTGCCCTTGTGAGTCTGTGAGAGTGTGGACATTTACGGAATTATAGTATTAAGATTCAGGATCTGTGGTCAATCATCCAAAGACAAGCTGCTGCTGAGAAATATCATAAATAGTGTTTTTTACAGAGCAATTGTTAGATCTCTTTTATTCAATATTTTACTCATTGCTCCTTTGACTAAAATAGATGTATTATTTATTCAGTGTCAAAGATTACATTTAAGATTCTGAGTTAAAACTGTCTTACATTTAACTATATATTAGTGTAGAGTCCTTCGAATCTCAGTGCTGTCTGAGGTAAAAGCAAGACTAATCTTACAGGTTTAGACTTTCAGCTTTCTGGGCTGAATCCTTACTTAAAAGCTCCACATAACTATTAGTGTGCATACTTTCTGCAGTGATTTATCTTCTGATGTGTACTCATCTAAAGCTAAGAGCATGTCCTTGGAGAGAGAAAACTGGATTGGTGCAGAATCAAAAACTAATCTCGCTTTCAGTCTTGTGGTAACCACATCTGATATTACACAGGATTAGAAACAGATTTCATGCAAGTTCCTGCACTGCAACAAATGCCCATGTTAACAGCTTTAATCTTCTTTTTTTTATTGTATCAGTATGACATTTAACTGAGTCAAGGTTCATTATGAAACAAACTGATTTTGCACGGGAATCCCTTGGGAACAGATCTTTCTACAAAATTGGAATTTAATACTTAAGGACAGATCATATGATTGTTAAAATGGACATTTGTACAGTGTCAGTGAAGACATGGTTAAGATTATAAGACATATTTATTATATTTAGGATCATGTAGGCCTACTCATTGATTTTCTTGCAATTAGTAATGCAATTACGCATTTCTATGATTGCAGTACAATCATTTCCTTTATCAACAAACCCTTTTTACCCCTTCGAGTACTAATTCATTTTCATTTGAGTGGACTGAGGTATAATTGAACAAAACACACACACACAATACAATACCAAGTAATATGAATAGGAGAAGAAGTGGGGCCATGTAAGGGAGGTCTGTTCAACAGAAATAACACAATATATAATACCATAAAAAAATATATAATTTAACTTAGAGTACATAAGTATTAATACATACTGTAGGTCTGGCAAAAAGTTTGCTCTGACTGAACTTATAATTACATTATGAGGGAAATACAAAGTCTCCTTGAATGTCCTCGCTGCAAAGTATCTGTGAAGTGAATCATTATTTGCATAATGTACAGTTGCCAAACCTTATGTACCTTGGCCTTGAGTTGCTCTAGACTGTCCTCTGCTGATGGCTCTGTGGAGCTGAGAGACAGACAGACAATCAGACAGACAGACAGAGAAATGGATGAAGGGAGAAATTAAAGAAAGAGAAAACTGACAACTTATTCAGCTTTTCGTTTACATTTCGCAATCTGCAATGCATTGCTCAAAACCAAATCCAAAATCCATCTTACTCAGGGTCCAGAGCTTGTCTGTGTTCCTCCAGACTGTGAGAAGGGCTTGACATTGCAGGAGACTGAGAACCTGTGATCACAAACACCCCAGACTGACATTACTCCAACTTTAAGCTTACATAGCAAAACAAGAAAAAACTGATAATGCAAGAAATTTGGTACTGGGTGTAGTGAGGATGGAGGAGTACGAACCATCCTTGAGGGCTCCTGTGGTGGAAGGCGGGTGCAGTGTTCGTCTGGGGGAACTCTCTGCACTGCCAGGGGCCCTGAGGACCGCAGCTCCTGCATCACAGGAGGCCACACTACGAATCGAACTAGAACGGCTGTGTGCTGGACTGCTGTGCCCCTCTGAGACCTGAAGACAGACGTAAAGGGGAAAAAACGTAAGAGGGATGAGGCAAATGGAGGAGGTGGAAGAAGGGAACGTGAGGAAGGGAAGGAGGAGGAGTGAGAGAGAACTAGGATGGCAAGAAAATGAGAAAGGAAGCTAAGGCTCAGGAAAAAAAAGGAAGAATAAAGTGCAATCAAAGGAAAACTGAAAAGTGCTGCAGACTAATCTGAAAGAAGTGATTTAACATACTTTCACCATTTCTAATTCCTTGCCCTCTTTTCCCCTGGAAGCCTCACACTGCCTGGTTTCTGTGTCCCTGCCAATTCTGATCCATTTTCTCGAAATTGTTTATCCAATCTGAACCCATTCCTGCTCTTGCTGAGTTAAGTGACAGCATTAGCCAGACGAGAGCTTTTCATCCAGTTAAAGACTGTGGCTGTTATTATCACACTGGGAGAGACAATAAGTTGTGACAGACTCAATTAGTGCCGCAGAGCAACACACAGCAATTAATCCATTAAAGGAATAAAGTGGGATGGACAGGGGTTAAAGACACACACACTGTCTGATTGATACACACACACACTTATCACACACCCTGTGGTAAAATTAAAGACGTGAGAGTCGTCTAATGAGAATAAGGGAGCTTGTTTTGTTAAAAATCCCATCTGTCCACATCACATCTGGTTGATATTTTAGCAGATGTTGTGAAATAACAAATCTGATGGTCAAAGAAAAAAGAAAGACGGCAGGTGTGTGTGTGTGTGTGTGTGTGTTGTCATACACACCTCTCCCTCGGTGGAGCTGATGCTGTCTCGGGCCACTCCTCTGTAGTTCTTCTTTTTGCTCGGTGAATGAGGAGAGCACTCCCTCAAGTCTAGTAAGAATGATACACACATATATACACAAAGAAAAGGGAGGAAAAACAATTGTGATTTAGCATGACATGACTAAAACTATATATACTGTAATGCATTTGTTCATCGAAAGCATTGTCCATTTATTATGTGCATGTTTCACTCTTCTTAAGAGGAACTTAAGTTGATGACACCCCCATATAATGAGTCTATTAAAAAACATCAACTCGGTTAAAATGTCAAGTCTTCCTCCAAAAGTAACACGATTAATTAGGCAGGCAATTGTCATTTTCTGCTTATTCCCTGAGTGCACAAGGAGGAAAAAACTGCAATCATTTAAATTTGAATTTAATTTCACCAGATTTAGTCTTCTCCTCCCACGTGCCTTCTCTTTCGCTCCTGTTCCCTAAGTCTCCCTCAGCCTCCCCGTTTTTTAATATTGCATAATGGGGCTGCGTTATTCGGATCAGTGCAGATCCAATCAGTCTGTTATCCTGTGTGCACTGTAGAGTGTCAGATACGGCTCTTCTCTGTGCGCACTCTGTTCTGACAGATGCAGCCACTGAAATAAAGCCAGCGGAGCTTAAAAAGACTCGAGGAGAACAAAGCCAGACAGATGTGCTCAAAAGGGATTACGTGTTTGCTGTTTGTTTGTGGAGGTCCAAAGTTTAGCTACAGTCAGAGGGAAAGTGCATGTGAGGGTTAAGGTGGTGGAGGAGAAGAGGATGTGTGCCTAAGAATGCCAGGCGTCACTCTGTATGGCATTTTTTGTGTGTATTTGTTTGCGCATATGAACTCTTAGCTTAGCCTGGCTCTGTCGATATGTTAGAAAAAA